CTGCGATTTGGTCGCGCTCATGCGCAGGCTTCTTGGGTGTGTCTCCACCCCCGCTCAAAACGCTAAACTTGAGTGAACATCGAAACCCCCTGTGTTCAAGCAGAAGGTTCAAGCAAATGCATGTCAGCTGTTTCCGTGGCTCCCCGCAATATGGTCTATGTTTGTTGCAAGCACCAGGACAGTGGCTCCCCAACAAAGATTCCAGAAAGAAAGATGCTATCACATGAAAATCAGAAAGACTCCTCGAACTTTGGGTGACACTCCACGTGGTAAACATGCGAATATAACAAATATCCCATTTGACTTGATTCATATTCCCTGGGCACTAACCCACCTGCCAGTGGGAAAGATCTGGATTCACTTACCCATAGAATTGCAGAATGACTCATTCGGGAATGGTCCCCACGTCAGGTGGTTACACCTGCTGAATTCCGACCCTTGCAGCCGATCGATTGCCTCACTTTCTCAAAGGACCTAGACACGAAACCATTTGGAACCATAGCCAGAAGTAGACCAAGCGTCTCAGTGGTTGCAAAAAAAAATGAGGAGTTGCTTTATGGGCTTTGTGCATCCACAGTAAGTGACTGTCTGCTGAAAAGTCTACGATGCAAAGCCGCCCACTTCTCAGGTCAGTGCAGGCTTCGTCCCAGGCATCTGCGAAAGGGCCTCGCGCAGCCCGCCGATCGCAGGGTCCCGGTTCCCAATACAAAATGACCCCCCTCTGAAGCATCCCTTGTGGTTGTCCTTCTGGGGGAGCCCTGAGTTCCCAAAACTCCTCTTGATTTCCTACTGGCCAACAAGAGAAAAGGCTTCGAAGCTGGCCCCGTCACTTTACCATTCTGAAAGCCCCTGTGGTAGATGCAAGGTGTCAAGTTCCGCGTCTAACTCTAGGCAAGACCCCGAAGCAAGAGGGACCCTAGGCGAACCCCAGGAACCTCCCTGGGAAAATCCCCAAGTGAGCCCCCATGGTGGTGTATTGTAAGGGGCTCGACAACTACGCAGACGATTGGTCTGATGGACAAATCCGCAACTTGGGCGTAGCACCTCGCGGCCCCAAGTTGCTCCAATTGGCTTGGACCCCACCTTTTACGCAGAGGCATCTTTCGCAGGTTGTACATGACTATTGCGATTAAGCGACTCTTACAGACCCTAGGCAAACCGCTAGGAAACTCGCTGGGTAAACCCGAAGTGATGTACCTTTAGTGGTCTAGGGAAACCCCTTGGAACGGCAATTTGTTCTTGACACCACTCAATTTGTCTTTTTGTGGATTTGGACCCCCAAAATTAGTAGCTTGGGCTGTGCTCAAATCCCTTGCTAAAAGTCTAAAACGTTTTGTTGTTTTGGTGGAAACTAACAACCCAAACTCCGCGTACCCCTGTTCAAACCACCAATGAGCAATTGCTCATACAGCCATTGTCTGCCTAATTCACATCTGAATTGGGCCATTCGTTTCGTGGGGGTTGGACGGAACCCTAGGGGTACCAACTCCAAAAGAACGAGACGAACCCCGTCAGATCGGATCGATTCGTGGGCCTGAGAGCTGCTGGTCCGCTCCAAGGAAGGTGCCAAGACCTCGGTTCCGGCGAGGGCCCCGCAGGTGGGTTCTTAGAACACCGGACCCCCAAAACGGGATTTCCTATCGAGGATGTGGATCCACACAACAAAGCTGGGCTTCCCTTTGTGTTACTTCAAAAGATGGAAAGAGTCAAAACACGGGCCACACCTTTAAGGAAGCGCCACGCAAGAGGAGGTCGACCACCTTTTATAAAGCCCATTAAGATAGCAAACAGGTCTCTTCGGGGCGATTCGGTCAAAAAGACCAGCCGTCCTGAAGGTGTCATTCTTTGATGACTGATAGTTCAGGTTGGTGTAGTGGACTAGACTCCCTTGATGCCCCCGATAAAAAGTCAAGAGTCGGGTATGTGTCAAAATAGGGATACCTCCTGTCTTGATGGTTTTCCTGTTGGCTTCCCTTTAAACCAACCTTACGCAAGTTCCGTCAATAAACGACCTCATATCTCGTGAGTTTCCCACAATCAGGCCCTCGCATTCGTTCCCAGTTTCCCTGGCTGTGGGTCGGAAATGCGTACCCAAAATAAACCAAGGTACATAAAACCAAAGACCAAACCTGCGGTCCCCTGATGGTTGACCCATACTCCTATCTTGGGATCACAGGTCCCTCAAAACGACCTCGAAGCCACGAGCCTCGTCTCTCGGGTCTCGGGTCTCGGGCCATGCTGGAACTCCTCCATTCCGGGGGAGGTTAGGAAAGGCTGCATCACCTGCACCTAAGCGAACGGTTCCGAACGCCTGTCGCAGCTTGGCGCAGCTTTATACGCCGCTACCCAAGAAAAAATCGGAGTCTACTCTGTACATAGTGGTTTTTTCTAACCATGCCCTTGAAGTAGCGGAAAAAACCCTCTTGGTTTTGGTCATGCTGCCCGGTTTGGGGGGCTTGCTTTGCAACCGCGCACCTGGGTTTCGGCATCTCCATTTCGCGTCTTTACAGGCCCGTTCTGTTTCTTCAAAACTTGCTGGTGCTCAGTAGGGAGTGAAATGAAATACATCCCCTATGGTTTCCTTTAAGGGAATCCCCAAACGGTAAATTTCCAACACCGGACTCGGTCATTCCCTACCTATCGCACCAGCAAGTCAAATGCGTGGGGCACCACAACAAGGAAAACCACCACTACTATTGCGGCATGAGGATCAAGATCTGATTTCAAGCCAGATTACTCCCGTGCAGATTGCTCTACAAAAACCAACATCCAGAATGGAGGAATCTCCTTTCGGGGAAAAGACCCGTTTGTTTCGCGCGGGTTGCTTTGGGAAGTGCCCTACCAGCAAACGTGGGCTGGTGCATGGGTCGGCAGATAGCAAACGAGCCGAAATGCAACACAAATCCACTTCTCATGTTGGTTCAGTCGTCTCCGTCGCCGTTACTTACCCACAAAGGAGTTATGCCATCTGCTTTCACCCTGCGCCCGGAAATAGCCAAGGATTTCCGGTGGCCGAACCGAATATCAGGGACTGCTTTTTTTGGGTGTACTAGCTCACGAAGGATCAACAAGGGGTGCGTGAGTTCCCCGGAAATTGGCTGCCAACCACAAGTTCACATGGCGCCCAGAGGCAACTTGCTGGCAACTTACAGGGATGTCCCCTTCGAAAGCTGCAATTTGAGGGTAGTGTCCATTCAATCAAACACTTTTGGAGGTTCCAACACGGGACATGAAGAAAACCCTGACTTATGTTGAGAAAACAAAAGGAAGGAAGAGGAGGAGGCTGCCAAACTCCTTCGCACACCACCAGCAGACTTCTTGTCTCATGCAACTCGCTTGACCCCACTGGCACCAGCCGGGCATCGTCCCTTACAAACCGCTAAACTTACCCTCACTCCCTGAAATCGTGGACCCCTGGGGAGGGAGGGTTAGTTTTGGTTAACACCTTAATACGGGCGTATCCTTGGCTTTTCCTCCGCTTGTCCATGGAACCCCCCCCCTCCCCCATAGCTTTTTCCTGAGGGTCCATGATGAAAGGAGTGGCCCACATGTGAACTTTCTGGCCACTAAGTTGAAGGACCTCGGGACGTCAGACACTGTCAACGGATTTGTGTGCCATGAGCCGTGAGGCATAATCTTGGCCCCGGAATGTCTCTGAGTCCCAATTCAAATTCAGACCGCAATCAACAAGGTGGTTCAAAAAAATCCGGAAAGTGATCCGGACTCCTAACATGGAACTCTAATCAAAGTCAACCAGGGAATTGCCGATGCGTTCCATTCGGAAACCCCAACAAGTCTCCGTTTGCTACCAGAAAGAACAGGTCATCAACATCCCAACGCATGCGACGACCGACTCGAGACTCGAGCTGGCCGGCCTTTTCCGCGCCACGCTGGCCGCAGGTCTTTGTGTGAAAGCAAGCGGTCGCTAGCTGTGCCCCAAGATCGCCATTTCCACTGACGTTGACTCACTGAGCGCCGAATACGACGTCTGACAAAACTGGAAACATATCCATCCTGTTTTGATTTCCATTGGGGGAGTCAACAAATTTGTTCTATTTACCGCACAGTTTAGTCGTGGGCGTGGTTTGTGGTCACGCAAACGCCCGGAGTGGAAGGACCTTCAGAGCGCAAGCACTCGCGCAGCTTCGAGGCGGCTTGTTCTGGTTGGAGTCGTCATTGCTGTGGATGGACAAATTCCGTTTCGCACCACATACGGAAACCTGAAATGATTCGATTCCCCTGCAAATATCAACAAACAATGGCTTTCCACGGTTTCGAAGTGGCGCGAACGGAGTTCGTCCACCCACACTATGCCTTTCCATGTGGCCACTGAACGGGTCCCTCAACGTGGCAGACCCAAAAGATTTCACCGATCCTTGCAAGGTCGAAGCAACACCATGCAAAACGGAACATGATTTGCTGGTAAGTGAACAACCTTGTTCCACCAAATGAAACGGGCAAATGCCCGTTCCTCTCCTGCAATTCGCTTGGAGAAAACGCCTGAGTGTAGAGGAAGCTGTACGAAGATCCCTTGGGCTTCCTCTGATTAAATGCGCAGGTTATTTCAGTAACACCGAAGAGCAAGCTGATGTGTGTTTTGCTTTCTTTGTTTGCTTTGAACAAGACTGGCATTCTGGGGCGTCTCAGAGTCTCACACCTTCCCCAACAGCCGACACCTATGCTGTCTTGGTCCGACAAGGTTCCTGGGAAAAACGATTGGCTAATGCTGGAATTATTCTTGGCGAATTCTGGAGTTGAGCCGGGGGGATATGATGGACACACAGGGTCTATCTTGCAAACCAACGTCTGTATAGGGTATTTGTCGCTAGTGTCGTCTGCAAGACGACTCTATGTGGGCAGGATGTTTAATCGGGCACCCTGTGGACATCATTTACCCGATGCAGCAACTTTAGAGTCTCTACCATGTGTGTTTTTCCACCAGGTGTAAAGAGGGACGACCCCAGCCATGAGTCGGTATCATCCACCCAGCCAGGTTGCTCTCAGGCCAGGAAAGAGCCAATCGCCTGCGCGAAGAACCCGATCTCTGTTCAGGACATCCTTGGGGATTCTGTCCGACATAATTTTGCCGGATCATGAAATTTCACGACTTGATTTCAAAGGGCTCTGCAGACTTGATCAAAGCGATTCACCCTTCGGAAGGCTGGCTGTAGCAAGCAAAAATCGTCACTATGACTATGAGTCTAGCAAAAAAAGCGGACCATTGCTGCAGTCTTTTGTCAACTCCCTTCAAGTCTCAGGCGATTCAGCTGATTCCGGGTTTCAAGGAGCTTCGGTCCCAAGACTCCATGACAAAAATGGGTAGCCGCCACTCAAATCTCAGCGGGTCTTCTCTCTGGAGGCAACTGAAAGCCACCCTTCTACCCTCCGTACCTGAGAAATGGTCCCGAGGAATTCTGATTTCCAGGTACCCTCCCGCTCTGTAGGAAGTTGATTGGGCACCCGTTAAAGATTCGCGCGTTGGATCTGAGCAGCCCAGACTGCTGAGGCTCGGGCCGCGAACTCTGTCCGGCGACCAGAATAGACAGAAGTGGCACGAAAGAAACTGCAGGGTCGCTCCGACCCGATCGGCACAAGGGAAATCAATGCGCCCAGGAAAACCGAAACAGGGCCCTCCCTGAAAGAGACGTGAGCAGAGGCCAAAAGCTGTCAGCTGGTCCTGCCAAGAGTGTAACGCTTTGCATATATCCCCGCCAAAACCGCAGTAGCTTCTCGTGCAAAAATGGCCAAACATAATATAGGCCGGTGTGTCTGCACAAGGGGAAACCTCGGGGTTTCCCTTTGGTCCCCTCTCTCGCCCTTCCCAAACTAGCAATAGACTCATAGACTATTCCCAACAAGTTCTCAGTTTCTCATATGTCCCATGGTCAAAGCTCCTTATGAGTGGGTCATAGACATGGCTTGCTTGTCTCAACTCTAGGAGGCTGGATAAATCCTCTTTGCAGGCGGGTGGTTTGTCCCTTTTAACTATTCTTCATCCATCCTAAGTCTGAAGTGGATGTCCATCAGGTTGACCTTTCCCCTTAACCATCCAACAAAAAAATGGTTCCCCCCCCCCCATTTTTGGGGGAAAACGGGGCTGCCGTGTTACAGTCAAAACCACCAGGATAGAGGGAACCCCTGTTTCTTCGGACTCACTGACCGACTGACCGCCTGCCTGGCGCCGAACCTCGCGGGCTTTAGGGCGGACGGGCCGAGAAGGTGAAGCGATCCGCGCAACCGGGGGGATCTTTTTTGGGGAAGAGTCGGTTCGGGGTTCGCTTTTCGGGTTTTGCTAGCTGCGATCGGAGGGGAATGATCGAGTCCGAGTTTTGGGAATGAACCGTGCTGGGTTTCCAGAAAAGAGGAAACCATAGGATGGATGGCTTTTCTCAGGGTCATTCCAACTCATTCCCTGCTGAGAACCAGCAAGTTTCACGAAAACAAATTGCTTCCCCCCCCCCCCCTCCCGCCCGAATACCATTTGAGTGCAACTGAAAGCAGTGCTTCAAACAAACCATGAGACCACTGCCTTTTGAAAATAACGACCCAACGAAATGTACGTGCTTCTCAAATACAAATCCAACTAGGTTTTATATGGTTTTATGAAACCCACTGACTTCTGCGACACAGACTCCAGTGACCAGGAAAGGCAACCCGCCCTTTTTGTGTCACGAGAAGGAAACACATACTGGAGGCCTGTGACCCCTGCTTACCTGGTAATTCGGTGTTGCCTGTGATGAAACTAATTCTTTCCCATTTGGATTTGTCTTGTCGTAGGTTGAACCCCCCAAAATGGTGGTTTTCCTTTTTGGGCTTCCCTTTAATCCATTTCACCAGAAGGGGGATGAAAGCAACATTCCCCGATTCCGATTCACAAAGTGAGGAATTCCCATTGTGTCACCCGTGGTTCTTTTGCACGAACATGGAAGAACCAAAGGAGCCGAGTCCAGTCTCGGAAGGTCTGCTGCCAAATGGGGTCTGTGCGATTCCGTGTGTAAAATATGTCCGGGGCTTTAGGGCGCTGTCCGAAAGGAAGCATCAGGGGTGCTCCGAAGAAGCTGTAAGTGTCAATACTAGGGGGTCCTTTTTGGCATCCCTTTTGAAAGGCAGCGCGCATCGGCAGCCAGGGTCCAAAACGAGGCCACCATTTTTTTCACGACCCGCCTGGTTTGGTCAATGTTTTGCGGTTGAGGTTCAACAACTGCTTGGATCCAAAATACGGTGGTTGCTGGTTGCCTATTTGGGGGCACGCGAAAGGGACGATCCCACTGGAAGACTTCAAAATTCTTTGCAAAGCTCCTCCTTCGCCGCAAACATCTTGGTTCATTGCTAGGGGGTGCTAAAGGGAAAATGTGAAAGCAAAGGAGGACCTGACAACAACGCGCGCACACACACACAATACAATGGCAGTTCAGGATTGACACACCCCTGGTTGATGAGCAGGGAGTTCCTGCAAAGCCTGCACTTTTCGGGGGAAAGACCTTGACCCTCGAACGCTCCGGGTGTGATTCCGGGGTCAACCTCAACCAGCTCTCTGCTGCATCTGATCTAAAGGCGAAATGCTAATCCGCAACACTACTCGGAGGCTCATCCTCAAAACATGCAATACCACCACAAATCAACCAGCAAAGCCACACCGCCAAGCCAAGTATCCACCAAACCACCAAACCACCAACCACCAAACCAGCCAGCAGCCCCCCAAACCAAAAAGCCGCAAGCCCCGAACCTTGGTTCTTTCCAGGGGGCCACCGATTGACTTTTGGTTGTACCAGAATGGTTGTGAAGGTCTAACGATTAGAATACCGGTTAAACCTGGAACTAGAAACACATACATGTCCAATAAAATCACCTAAGGTTTACAAAGACCTTTCTACAGCCCCGATGAAATATGAAACCAGGTAGCACGAAGAACCACACTAAAGCTGCCTACTCAAAGGGGCGTTGTACTTAGTAAGTGGTTAGCAAGCCTGGTTATAACCCACTTCGGAGATTTACAACCAGGGCAATGTGTTATAACCAGGCTTGCTAGCCACTTACGAAGTGCAAGGCCCTTTAAGTACGTACAAGGATGGCTTTAGGAATCTCTCATGTCCGCGCCTGCGAGGCAAGCGCGGAGCTAGGAAAGCCCTGGCGCATTCTCGGAAGGGACTCTTCTGACCGAGTTGTTCGGAAGGGGTTTACTGGATGACATGAGAGTGGAAGAAACAAGGGGTGTGCATTTTGTTGGAGGACCCATTTTGGTAAATCCACCCAATTTCAGTGGATACGCATTCAGAAAGACTCTTGAGACGGGTGTGTCTTCGTTTGAAGTTGGTACCCCTTTGTGCTTTCTTAAGGAAACAAAAGGACGACCACCATTTTGGAGGGTCCAACCTTAAGAAAAAACCCCAAATGCCGGCCTTCACGCAGCAGTGCGATAATTTCTTTGGTCACGCTTGGTGATATGCCGTTGCAATGGGGTGAGTTGCCACGTTGACCAAACCTCCGAATTTGGCTTCCCTTTCATCCGAAAATCCGTGGCTGGGGGCAGTCAGCTTGCCCCACCCGTGCTTGCCCACTTTGCAGACACATGGCTGTGGGTTGAAACCGTTTTGGTACCATTTTGGGGTAGGTGAATTCACCACCCATTATTTTAGTGGGGATTGGGATGTTCACTGGGGGTAGGGGTTTTGACCCATGGCCACATCGCCGCTCGCGCGCGCGAAACGCGACGCGCAGAAAGGTCCGGCAGAAACAGAATCCAACGCTCCCTGTGAGGTCGGTGCCCAGGTGCTGAAAGCGCATGAGGTCCGGACCCGTTTTGCCGGTACGAGGATTCGGTCTGCGCTGTGCAACTGGCTGTCACAGCCCGGGAGCTGACCATACCGAACTCAAGCACGTACTCTTGACCCCCGACTAAGTTTGAAGAAGCCTTGCGGAAAAGAAGGTGGAGGGCTTCCATAGTAAACCCCAGATTCATGCACCGAGGCTTCGGCTTCAGGGTTCAATGGGTTCGCGGGATCTGACTCCAAAACCAAACACGTGAGCTGCCCCTAGCAAAGAATCTACACGACGCCAATTTGCCCTCGCAAATATCGGTATATCGCTACAAGCCCTGAATCAGAGTTTGGCTGGCAAGCTAGTTCCGGTTGAGTATGTGTAATTGACAGTGTTGAGTACACAATTCATGATAATTATGCAAAAAGTACACACACACACATACAAGCCAACAACCTTGCATTTGGAGTTCTCCTTCCGCAGTGGGAGAGCCTTCGTCCATAGAGCGCCACAAAATACCAAGAAGGCCCCCGTGGACCCCTTAGAGTTGCCTGGCGCGTGCGTAGGCAAATGTTTGGACACGGCAAGCTGCAAAATTGGTGTGCTTTTCTTGTTGACGAGGCCCTTTGGAGTGGGTCTTCAACAAAAGAATGGAATACCACCCAATTTTAGGCGGCCCCGGTTCTTTGTTTTTGTTGAGACAGACCCAAATAGAGGCGCTGATTTACGCCGTTCTTCAGGCGCCTTGACCCAAACCTCGACCATGCCCAAAACAAAAAAGCAACAAAACTGATACGTACAACACGGGCCCGAAACCCTCCCTCTCTCTCTCTGCAACTGGGCTGCCCCCTCCAAAACGACCTGCAACCTCCCCCCCTCCAAGAAAAAAACAACAACCCAAAACCCCCAATAGCACACCCCTCACAACCACCCGGCCCAAAAAACATCCCCAGGAACCGGTTCGCCTCCAGTCGGTCCGACCTTCTCGGACCACGCAGCACCTGCGTCTGCGCTTGGTCCACTCGCTGCAGCAAATCATCCTCGGAGGTGCGGTGGGGTGGGGTGGGTTGGGCGCGGTGGGGCGGGTTGGGGCGCGGTGGGGCGGGGCAGGGCGGGGCGGGGCGGGGGGCGGGGTGGGGCGGGGCGGGGGGGGCGGGGTGGGGTGGTTTGGGCTGGGTGGGTTGGAGTTCTGCAATTACTGGGCTTCTTGTTTAACATGGTCTGCTTCAGCCTTCAAAGGCGGCTAGGGTCTGATGTTTAAACCATTCGTTTAATCGATCTCCTGTTGATACTTCTGAAACGGGCATCAGGGTTGGTTGGTGAAGCAAGAAATTGCCCCACCCTGCCGGCTGTGAAGGAAGGGGAGATCTGTACGTTGGGATTTGTGTCACCCCCTGAATTTCTTCCAACAAGGGGATGCCTGAAGAAGCTGCCCTGACGCCCCACCGAAACCCAATAGGCTTACCATCCTCGTGGGTCTTTCAGGTGGGATGCGAAGGTGTTCGCCTCAGCGTGGGAGATGAAAAGGCTCCCCTGCAAGTGGTTTTTGTTGCACACGCGGTGAAGGGGAGGTCAAGCAAACAGGCAAGGAGGTTGGAAAAACAGGGTCCATGGCTTCAACCTGGGTTCATTAAAGTGACCTCCTCAAAGTTATCCTTTGAACTGGTGGCTAAAAAAAGAAATGAGACGTCACTCTTGTAGAGAACAATATGTGCTTGGGGGGAGAGGTGGGAGGGAAGCATGGTTGTGGAAAATAATCCTTGTGACACCGAAGTGAGTTTCCCACGCGTTCGACTACACTTTGTCACTATTGCTTGACAGTTCAAACCTCTTGGGTTGAACGCAACAAAACCTAATAGTTTGAGCACAGGTCCGGCGAACGTAACGATTTCTTTGCTTGCTTCTGTGCATAACGTGGGCCAGCAGGGAGTTGGGATTGGGACGCCAAAAGGAGCTCAAAGTGTTTGAGGCAATCAGATTGGTAGCAAACCAACAGCGGTTTGGTGTTTCAGTCTGGCGACGCGTAGACCCCAATGTTGCTACGGTTGACTTTGCTCTCCGCCTTGCAGGGGTGGCTGCATGCGCTGAAACTATGATGGCACAAACAGCTGAAATAATGTTAACCCCGGATCAATAAACCCTGATCAATAGGGGGGTGTCCCCTTTTAGTGGGGATTCAGACCACTTTTGGAGGGAACCCCCCTAATAATGGGACGGATTTATCAATCCTGGGTCAACATTATGCTGCAAGGCCAGGCAATTATCCTAGACCGCCTCTTTGCTCGCTTGTCCGTTCGTTCGGTTTGTTTGCTTGCTTGATTCCTTTCTTCCCCTGCGGTTCCAGTTCTCCTTTTTGGTTTTGCTCGTCGCAATAAAAGGAAGCAAACACAAGCAGGCAGGGACAGCTCTCATGCCCTCCGCTTGGGTCCGGGCGATGTCCCTGCTGGTGCTGCCCAATGAAGGGTCCACGGACCTCGATCCCCCACTCTCAACTAAGTCGTCCCATTTGAGATCCGCTCAGGCCGAACACCATTCGAACCCTTGTGGCTTGGTCCATGTGTTGAATTGGAGAAATTCTGCGAGCTCAGCTGATTCCCTCAATTTTGAAAGGGAACCAGGTGAACGATGTTCGGGAGCTCGATTCAGAAGACAGGTCGCACCCAGTCGCCACTGCTCTCGATGCATCACGCCGATCCATCAAGCCACTCCAAGGTTTTTCCAGCTAGGCCATCACGAGGAGAGACGTTTGGTCATATTAGGATCCTTATCTCTAGCCTCCCAGAAAAGATGCTCAGAACCTTTCGCTCGGATTTCTTTCAGCGATGTCTGGGGTGTCCCTTCGTTGTCTGGGATGTCCGTTTGAACTCAGCTACACAGTCTTTTTAGGAGCGGTCAAGCACTGTATGTGCTTACCACAATTCTGCAAATGGGGGGGGTGTTCACGACTTCAACCATATTTACCGTGGATTGTTCCTTGTATACACCGTAGTTTCAGAATTCACAAACTGATAAACCAGAGTCCCCCCTGCCCCCCGCCCCAAACAACAACAACAACAACAACAACAAAAACAAAGAAGAATGTATGTGTGAGAATCCCTCAAAAGGGCGTCCCATTTTTTCAACCTGGAAACATCCCACAAACAGGAAACTCACCTTCAATTGGCCACCCAAACATAATTTGTGTAACAAGAAACGCGGAAACGTAGGCTTTGCTGGACCCCCCCAACCGTAATACCCCTGTCCGCCCCAAACACACAAACCTTTTTGGCCTATGTTAGTCTTTCCCAACGGGGTGCTGTGTGTGGCCCCCCGCTTTTCTGGCAAAACGAGAGGTGTGACAAATGAGTCAAAATCAGGACCAGTATTGAAAGGGTCTATACCCTTTTAAGAATGTATGAAGCCGGATTTCCTGTAGCTCCAGGTCTCTTGGAATTTATACAGAGACTGGTTTTCTTGGGTGGGACTCCACTTGGGCAGCTCCCGGCTCGGCTGGGTTTCTCGCGAGGGCTTGCCTTGCAGAATGTGGACCTCGGAATTCAGAGAGGTGCTGTGGCGGCCCCAGCCCGGCTCCCCATGTGCACAGGGGACTTAAAAAGGCCAAACCGGAGATTTTGAAAAGGCCAACCTAAATGGTCACGCAGAAATATCCATGTTGGCAATAGACATTTCGAGATCGGAAAAAAGGAACAAGAAAGGCCCTCTTGCCAGCCGATTTGAGCTGCCACCCTGGTTCAGCTCGTCTATATGTTTTTTGGTTGTTTGTACGACAGGTGGCGAACAGTGCCGCGAGCACAACTTCCAGAGCACTCTTCTGGTGGTATGTTTCAGTCCCCTTGGAGTTAGTTCTCCTCCCAATCGGCCCGACTCAAAGACGAGCTACTGTCGCTTGTGGCAACCACCATATGGAGAGGCGGTCTTCTTTTGGGTTGGGTACAGAAGCAGAAGGGCCCTTGAGGCGGGGATTCCTCCAGAGTGGGCGAATCATGATGCCCCCTGGTTGTCAGCGGCCCTCAAAGCAGGACGACCTCCAAAAGCAAAAAGCCCGGAAACAAGGCCGTACTCGCTATTAGTGGGGGGCATGGGTGCACACGCACACGTCTAAGGAGACATTTCACTTCAACCAGTGGATGAAACCTGCAGCCTGTTTCCAACTGGAGAAAATGGAGCTGAAATTCAGATGCCATCTATTGCCAGACCTCCCGGTGTGGCTCCAAAACTGAAACTAGCAATGAGGTTGCCCAAAGTTTTAGACATGGAACAAAGAGATTCACTATAACTTGAAAACACGAAACAGAAACATAATCTACACCTGGTATGAAAAAAGTCTACCCAGAGCCGAATCAAGAAGCACCGGGAGTGCGTAGACATTTGGAGGCTACGTCTACCCTGGGGGCCCTGGCCGCATTGGCTGCGGCGATGGGCGGGCGGTCGCCCGGCACTGGCACCACCAGGTTCTGCAGGTCCTCAAGTCCCCTGCCCCGAGGCTTTGGGTTGAAAAACCGCCCCGAAGTCCTCTTCAGCTATCGGTTTGTCTAGGTCCTCCAGTAGAGAGGTTTGAATAAGGGTACCCCTTGTTCTGTAGCCTACTGTAGGTGAACTCTCCCCAAAGAAGGGTCAAACTGGGGGACCTAGTTGTCGTGCAGAAGAAAGGGGTGTCGCTACATGAGCGTGACTCGAGTTACAATGCTTCAGGGGGGTGAACTGGTTGGCGGTTTTTAATCGTAGCTAGCTCAAGAAGCACAGGGTACCACGGACCCAAAAGGGAGAACTTTAGGCCCTAGGGAGAACCGTACGACAAAGTCTCCCTTGTGGTTTGAGCATACGGCGCAAAACACAACCCACACGCAAATGATTCCATAAACAATCAGGGCTGGGCTCTTCGTCCAATGCATTCCTTGTTGATGTAATCCGTAGTTGTTATTCTTTCCAGAAGTTCCCTTGCTCCCCTTCCAGTATCTTGGGAATCCAACAGTTGATTCCCGATGTATAGGGGAAACAAAGGCAAGCAACGAAGGTGTTCAATGGTTTGTGGTTGGTTTACTTGGAAGGACAGCCGGCTACGGGTTGTGAAGCTCAAGCCGACCGCTAGAGAATGCTGGGGAAACCCGAGCTCCAAAAGTTAACTCCTGTTTTCCCAAGTGAGAAAACAAACATGTCCAAGAGTTGACAGGGCAAAGTTTAAGCTAAAGAACAATGGCCTCATGGTCGCAAAAGGGAAGGCGCAATTGGCGCCCATCGGGTTGAGGGGCCCTTGAAAGCCGTGGATGCACGAAATCCTAGTTGGGATTGATGAAACCCTGTGAATGTTGGGACAAATTGTTTTCGTACATAACTATCCAAGGATCATAGAAGGATTGCCGCTCAAGTAAGACAGTTGAAAGACGAGGGAGCAAGAGCCAACAATGTGTCCTCCCTCACACTGACCTGGCACCTTTGGTAGACGATTTGCCTGTTCAAGTTCCCCTCCATCGCAGGGAACTTCCGAATTTCCTTTTTCACAACGCAGTCCGCAACAGCCCCTCGCATGGCACTTGACCCAAATTGGTCCATTGTTTGCTGAGATGTCCATCCATAGATCCTAACTGTCTGTGTCTCTAGGCGCACGTCGTTTTAACCAAGAGGCGGTGTTCCTGTCATCAGCGTTTCATGACCTGCACTCAGAGGTTCATCAAACTTTGATTGCCTCAAGCGCAATGGAAAAGCTGGGATCAAACCATTGCATAAGCTTGTAGCGCAGTATATACCCCTTAGGTGGTATTTCCCCTTATACAAGTGCTGTATAATCTACATACTGTGGATGGACGAAATCCTGCACCACCCAAGAAACCCTGGAATGATGATTCCCCGGTAAATATTAACAAACAATGGTTTCCGCATGGCTTTAAAGTGGTGCAGGAAAATGTGTTTTGTCCATCCACAGTATCTCCCATCCCTAAAACGCCACCTTGATTAAACACAAGCCAAAAGGGGCTCCGAATCCCATCGGAGACCCGAGGGCCCGACACCTGTGAGGAAGCGATCCTGGTGGATGGAGGGGCGGTCTTCGATTTGATCTGCGAAACCTGAAACAACCTGAAAACAATGGGGTCGAGGAGGGGGGGTCGATGTCGAATTTTCGAGGTGGTATTACCTGTTCTTGTTGTCTAAGGGTCAACTTACACACACCACACCTATAGGCTCTATATGCATGTATATGTGGATGCTATAACCCATATATAGCCGCTATTTTTAGGGGTATGTCCTATTTGGGGAAGGGGTCATAGTAAAGCCCATACGGGTATGTGTCAAGATAAGCATTTAGACCTCCCCCCCCCCACAAAAAAGAAAAAGAAGAGGAGAAGAGAGAAGAGAGGGGTTTCACAAGAGAGCTCCCTCAAAAAAGGCACACCCCATATGGAAGCCATGGACCTGCAAAGTCCGGGAACCTTGGGGAAGGTCTATGGATGGGTCAAGGATCCCATGCTCACGGGATGCCCGCCAGTTCGACCAAGAAAGTGAGGCCTCCAGCCAGGGGATCCATCGATTCGTCGGTTTCTCGGTCACTGAGCACAATATGCCATGGGTGTGTGTGAGTGTGTGGCTTGAGGGTGCACTTCTTGGGGTGGGTTTAAAGGCAAACCAAGAGGAAAACTGCAATTTGTGAGGCGCAAACATCAAGCCACTGATGGTTCAGAAATGCACATGCCACTATTTTGAGACAGATCCACTATCAGTGGAAAACAAACAAACCCACATGCCAAACGCCTGCCACTTTCCCTGCAAAGCACGCTTCCTAGCAAACGTGTGATATCGTGGGCATCAGAAAAGATGTGAGATTCCATCTTGTGCAACTCTCATGATTTGCAGGAATCCATCAGATACCTTCAAGCTGCCAAAGACAAACTGCTTGAGTACCAAGCTGAACCCCCCAAAAATACGAACGAACGAATACATAGGAGGGACTTACGAAACCTCTTCCTTGGCCTTAGCAGCTTATTTAACGCTATCGGTGTTTTTTCCTGTTTAATGTTTCCTGTTTTTGTTCTTCTTCTTTTGAGGGGGGGGGGAGGGGATTCCGGGGTCCTTGTCCTTTAGCGGGTTTGTGTAATTTACAAATGCCAACCAACGTCTCCTTATTAAAATAGTGTTCTTAGGTTTTGTCCGTGGCTTCTATGCTCAGCAGCAAAAAACAAACATGCAGTTGCATGCATCTTTACCGGGCTGTCCGTTTTCAGATCCCCTAAAGTGTAACTTGTGGGTTTCATGGAAACCCAACCACTTCCAAAAAACAGGCGAAACACACCGCAGGAACCGGATGGCCTCCAACTTGTCGAGCTTTTCGTCCATCCTGCCGGACGAGAAAAGGACGAAACCAAAAGGGGGAGAAAAAACGCGGATGGCAGAAGTACCGGAGAAAACAGTTTTGCAGGAGACCCCAGACATACTTGTTTGTGTCATCTCCTGGTTGGAGAAACTGCACAAACACCGTGGCCAGTGGCTTTTCAGTGGTTGTCATGCTGAAAAATCCTTCGGGGCTACACTTCCCATCCAGGTTGCGGGCCTATGACAGGCGTATCCACGCTACGCTCCTTAGGGAGCAGTCATTCCTTCGAAGGCTGAATTATTGGAGGGTTCTATGTGATTTCCCTTTTATGAACCACCTATTCACCCCTTTAAAAAGGGCACCTGCAAAAACAACGGCACGGCCAGAGGGATGCACAAAATGCACGCCGGTCGGCACCACTTGGCAGATGGTCAAGTATTCATAGGGCTTCATCCACCCCAATTGGCGTGAAATGGTTTTGTCTAATTGTCTGCTCAAACCACCTAACATAAGTATGGGTCTAACCCCAGTTCCCCCCCTTTTGCGTTTTGGGATTTTCAACCCCCTGTTGCCCCTTTTGTCCCAGATCTGGGGCTTGCCGGGGTGGACGGCACCTCGCTCGCCCCAGACCCGGCGCGCTCCGAGCCGGCCGCTCCTCGCCCCGAGCCGCAGGAGCTGCGGATCCCGCTGCTGGGCGCCGAAGCGCCCCGAGTCCTCGTCGTCCAAGGTCCGGACCTCAGAAGCGGAAGCGATCGGAGAGCGGTCGGAGTCCGGTGGGCTGGGGGGGCCTCAAAGGAAAACCCCCCAAAATGGCGCCAAGGAAACCCCTTGGGGAAGTGGGGAGTCTACATTTCTTGCGGGAAGGTTCTTCCTAGAATGGAGGGAAGTTGTTTTTGCTTTTTGCTTGGGGAACACAAAGGAAACCTTTTTCGGCAATTCTCAGCTGACCGTTTTCGGATCCGTTTGCAAACATGTGAATGACTTGTGGGTGAAATTTGGAAACCCAACCACGAAACCAACTCTAAAAGTCCACAAACCTAAGCACCTTCCTTTCAGGGAAGCCCCCCCCCCCGAAAGACTTCCGAATAGAGGGTAGATGGGGAAACTCGAAGAAGCCGTTACAAGCGTATTCGGTAAACATCCGTCCTTCATTGAAGCACATGTACCTCTGAAAGCAATGTTTTGGATATGAGTCTGAGGTGAGTGAGTGTGTGTGTGTGCTTTAATTCTCTTTTTGGCTTCTGACATTCCTCAACCTTCCGCTAACCCTGCTGCAAAGCTTCCGCGCCAGGCACCACGTCGTTTGATGGATGAAAAACCCCATGGAAAAATGGGGAGAAGGCTACCAGAAACCCGATGGACAAACGGGACAAACGACCTACTACAGTAGTTTATCACCCATATTTCATAGGGATGATGAGCCCCCACCTCCAGAAAGATGTGGCTTCTTTGGTATATGGGATGTGAACCGATTGGTTTTTCACTGAATTACATGAAACCCAAATAAAACCACATATGTGTAAGACAAATCTTGTTTTGGGCGAATGTTCCAGGGTTGCTCCGAAATCCCTGTCGCACGACAAGGGTAAACCGACCAATTCTTCTAGCCTGGTTTGGTCTGGGTGACCCTAATCAATTCTAACAAATGACTTCCTTTCAAGTAACATGAGAACGTCCTCTGCAAGTTAGAACTCAACTTGAGGAGGTGTCCCAAAATTGGGAACCCCCAAATGTTTGGTTTCGCTGAAGGGTTTACATAAAATTGGTTATTTAATAAAAAGGTTTTAGTTGGGTGAGCGTGAGATGGTTAATTAAATCAGTCTTAAATTCTACACCGTCCAATGTTTGAGTGTGTGTGTGTGCGTTTTAGGGTACTGTCCAAAAAACGAGTGGTTTCCCTTTGGTTTACTGTTACACCAACCCCAAGAAGGGTCCATCACACAAAGACAGGCCCATGGTACGATTTTTTTTAGGTGACCCCCAAAATAGCGGTGTTCCCTTTTGGTGTCCCGTTGCAATCTCCCAGAAGCGGGCACCAATTCCAAAACAGACGAGCCATCTGTGGCTTTGGCCCGCGGGAGCTCCTCCGGCAGGTCCTGGCAGTTTGATCCGGGAGTGGGGTCTCTCATTTTGTGAGAATCAAAGGGTTTGGTGGGAACATCGACAGGAGAATGGCCCCAAAACACCATGAATAAGCTGTTTTCCTCTAGAATTTCCACCCTGTGAGAGAACCTTGTTCGGCTGGCCCCATTGCTTCACGATCAGAGTGACTCCCAAGTGGATTGAAAGGACAGGACCCTTCGTTGAGAAACACCCATTTCGACACTGACAGGAACCCTTCATTTCCAACTAGGAGGAAAACCTTGGCAGAATTTACGTGGTTTGCTGGTGCTTCTCCTTTCGAAAGGTAGCTAGTTGCAAAACTGCTTGCTTTACTTGAAAGACCAAGGTGAGTCGGAGTCCCGTCGATTCCCAAGAGACCTTGCTGCAAATTCGCAAGGGATACTGTCTGTATATCCCATTCGTTTGCACGAAAGGTTGGCTGGCAACTGAGCAAAGCAAATACAAGAATCAAACCTCTGTTTCTAAAGGAAAGTTTTGCCCATGATCCACCCGAAAGATGGAAGGGAACCCAGTCTTTTGGCGGTTCCTGAAGTTTAGTGGGGCCACCAATCAAAAAGGGGATTTTTATTATATGGCTGCTGAGCCAGGCCAACCATCTGTTTGAAAGAAGGGCTGAGATTTCAGGGATGTTCAGAAGAGACCAGCGCTCAAGCTTTTGATACAGTACCACATTGTTATATGAAGGTTTTTATAGGCCCACCGCAAGCCCCAGACGATTCCATTGGAAGCTCCAATGGACGGACCCCGAAATAGAAGACTTGGTAACCCATTTGCAGCGGCCGTCTGGGGGAGCTTCTAAGTTCTGAGGGAGTGTAGAACCACAAACCCCATGAAACCAGGTAGAACCACCTGCTTGCAGGACCTCGACCACACACGAAAAAGCAGAGCTGATTTGGGTATGAGTATTAATTGGGGACGCTTTGGTGAACATCTTTTCGGTTGGGACTTATGTTCACCAACCATGCTTTTGAGTGTTCCCTACATCCTGAAACACCCGAAGTACAGGACCTTTGGACTTTGGACCACACATCGAGACTTTTATGACAGCTGTGCCAATACAGCGCTGGAAGGTACAAAATATATTCTTGGGCTCCGAGCCCCAAAACCGCAGGGCTAAAAATAATCACTCCGGCTCAACAAATTGGAAGCCCCAAATTTGCGTCTCTGTTTTGGGCATGGGCCTTTTGGAAAAATAGATGGCTCTGGTAAATGGAGCAAAACCCATCTAAACCAGTGCGATGTATTTTTAACCGAACTAACCTAAAAAGGACGCGCATGGTTTTGGGGTAGCATTTCTGGGGGTTGAAACACCGTCGCTTCCCAAATGCCACCCATGGGATTTTAAAGGTCACGCCCTGCCTGTTCCTTGCGTTTCGGCCCGGCCGCCTGCCAGCAGGTCACGCGAATTTCACCGCCGGAACCCGGCTGGGACCGGAGTCCCCGACGTCGAACGGCATGTGAAAAGGGGTGGGAGAGTAGCACATGTCTGCCTATTCTTGCATAAGCACAGAAAGGGAATGGCGGCGTCTACTTGCACTTTGGTGCTTCGTTGATCCCTTGCCAAAAGTGACACTTTCACTGGAATATGTCACGACTTCTCCCAACTCAGCAACAGAAAGGAACACTCCTCATAAGCTCTTGGTTTGTCAGGCAAGCTTGCCATAGGTGTAATTACAGGAATCGCCCGCTAGGGGGGCAATTTGAAGCTAGTGTTTCCCACTTGTGACTCCTAAAAAAATCAAGAGACCAGCTATGGGAAACTATGCAGAAGATTAGCCAAAATTCTGTCTTGGATGGCGATTTGGCGACTTCCCGTAGAAACTTCTGGTTCGACACCTATCAACCAGGATTCCGTTCATCAACAGTATCAAGGGTGCATCTGTATTATCAAACCCCGGATAGATGAAGTCTAGTAGGCCTCCGTCCCAACCATAAGTAGGTTCTCAACCTCGTGATGCCAGGAGGTCGACCTGATGCGGTGCAAACATGGGAACATCCTCTTGGATAGTGCAGCGCATGCCAACCCAACCAAAAACCGCGCACTTGCATCATGTGAAGCAGTAGGGTTCCATCCATTCTATCTGGTGCCGATCGGCGTGGATTTCGGTTATCCACAGTACAGCTCAGAGGCGCTTCAGCGCTGACAAAGACTCAGGATCAGCAGGCGTGACGAATGCCAGGGCAACAGGAGCCACTCAAGGCAAGGATTAAGCCCTGTTGCCCTTTTGGGCTTAGCAACACCAATCCAAAACGGGGAGCCCTTTTTAGACCATGCAAAGCCCTCGACGACGACGTCCTACTAGAACATCTGCAGCTGGCGTGAAACGTCCTGTGTTGCAATGGCAATACACGCGCATTGATTCGGAAGATTCCACAATGCATCATGGCAACGTAAGGCCATGGCAAACGGTGCAATGCAGTGAAGCTGGATGGGGTTGCAATGGAAAACACGAAACAAGCGCAACTAGTTGTTGGAATCGATTTCAGGAGGCACATTCGCTTGTCTTGCTGGTTCCCAATAGTGAGGGAATGATCCTCTGTGCACCATTCTTGGGTCGCTCCCTCTCCTTCCGGTTCATTCCCCAAACAGCTCTTAATTCCCTACTGAGAAACAGCCAGTTGCTCTTCTTAGTTCCTTTTGGTTTTTCCTTTGAAACCAGCCCCGCAAAAAAAACACTGTGGATGGGCGAATCATACGAAATCCATTTCGCACCACGAAATGATAGCATGGTTGAAACCACCACGTTTGTTGTTATTTGCAAGGGAATCGAATCATTTCAGAGGTCCTTAGCAGGATTTCGCACCAATCCACAGTATTTTACGCTTTGAGGCCCGTGGTTTTTTAGGTGGTGCCAAATGAATTTTGCAGCCATCCACATGCCCAAGCTTCCCAACGCGAACCTTGCTCGCCTTCTCGTGCTCCGGCACCAGGTCCGGCATGAGCTTGACCTTCTGCGCCGTGCCGGCCACGAACTCGTGGGGCATAAAGGCCTGCGGAATGGCCCAGCAACACTATTGGTGGGGGGGGGCCGGGGGGGGGGGGGGTGTAAAACACATGTTTTAAGAAGGGGAGTGTAAAACACATGTTTTAAGAAAAGAGCGGGAGAGAGAGAGAGAGAGAGAGAGAGATGGGGTGGGTAAAGAAAACATGTTCTAAGAAAAGGGAGAGAGAGAGAGAGATTGATAACAAAAACTCAAAAGAATCCAGCAGGCGTGCCGCGGCAAAAATTGCGGGTCGATGGATGCGGGTCGTGCTTATGGCGACGTCGGAAATGACCCCATGGCGCAACGAACCAGCCAAACCTGAGCGTAGATCGGACAATGTTACTCCCAACCCACCCCGTGGATTCTACTGGACAATTAAGAAAGGAACCAAACTAAACGAGCGCAATCCGCATATGTTTCATCAACCTGAAAAAACAGTTAGGCTCCATCAATGTTCAACCAAACTGGAACAATTGGAAGGGTGCCCACGGGGACCAAAAGAAAGCCATCCAGCCTTTGCCTGGACCCCGGAAATACATGGGCGACCTCTCCTCTGATTTGGTCACTTCCGTGGACTCAGAGAAAGTCGACCAGTAAATAATTGATCCCAAAAAATGGCTGTGGCTCAAAAAACCGGTACCAAAATGGAACCCTGGTAAGTGGAAACCTGGGCCAAAACCTGCGGCTTGCCCCTCCGATCGTTTAATTTTGATCCTCCCAAAAAATGATTTTCTCAAGTCCGAAACGGAACTCCGGGAGTGAGACAAGAGAACCCCACAACTTTTGATTCAACGGAGCCCGCGCCTCGAAGCCCGTCGGCCTCGGGCATAGGTCCAACCGAAGCCAAGCTACCCAGACTCCGCCTCTAGACCTGGAAGATCGCTTCACCCTCAGTTGGTTTGCATGGCTGGTGTAAGGATTTGGGCAAAAAGAAAAAGAAGAAAAACAACAAGCGCCCAAAAATGACTCCTGGACCTCTGGGGGCCATTTGGCTGGCTGGTTCGCGCCGGAAACGGAAACTCGAATGCCTGGCCCTGGGTTCGGCTCGAGCCAACCACCGAGAATCCCAGAGGGGTTGCTCAAAAATAGATGGGACCCCTTTTTGGGATGGCGTTTCGAGTCCAAAAAACGGTTGCTTTCTGCTCCCCTGCCAAAGGTTTAACTTTTGGTGGTTTAATGGAAAACCAAAAAAGTTAAAGTCCTAACATCCAAGCAACATGCACCAAAGAAAAGACGGGCCATGGGTCTTCCCAACACCTTACTCTCCGCCGGGCGCCCTGCGAATGGATGGCGTGGGCCACCCATGGCGCCATGGCGGATCAGGACGCGTT